CAACTGAAGACTAAAGAGTTCTCTACACCTTAATTCAAACCGGAATTTTACTAACCATGAAGGAAAATTTTACTTCACTGATTGAAAAAAATCTGGGATTCACGGAGGGACACTCGTGAAAAACACTCCCAAAGTCCTTTGGGATTTCCCAAAGGAATCCGCAGAATTCACGTGACGAGTTCAGCTTCGTAACACATACACTACCAAAAACTCGCTACCTTCAAGAGCTGTTTTACGACATGGCAACTAAGAACGGAGTCCCCTATAGGAATTTCTAGTAGAAGGTTAGATCGAATCTTCAGGAAATCCCAAGAAATTTTTAACAGTGTTTCTGAGGACGCTTTCTTCTTTGTATTACGATTAGCTTCGAAACGAGCGGAAACGAGCCTACATGTGATAGGGTTGGTGCGATATGGGCGATTCGAGGAAGGGGTGTCCGTACATGACGTGATTTGTGAGCGACTGAGAGGTGCTACTGCTTCGTACAAAACATGACAGATGCTCACAAATCGCGTGACGGACGGACATTTTTGACCATTTCTCCTGGAATTGCCCGTATCCTACCTTTCTGGGTTTAACAATTTCAATGTGAAAAATAGTCGTAGGTTTACGGGAAAATGTTCCATGTTGTGCGTCGTATAATTACAATTTGAAATAGTAAATTTACATGTTTACAAGCATTTCATGTCGTCTTGGACTTAGATTTGATCGACAAGCAGAAATGGGCCGTTGTAAATTCACAACATATTTTGTAAATAAAAATTACAGCACATTTTGTAAATTTACGAGGGCTATTTTGAAGTTTGACTCCAACCTTTTCCTCTCGCAAAAATTAAACGGAAAACAGAAATTTTGCAGAGAAAAGGAATTGTGGTATTTTCAGTTTGTTTGATTATGGAAGGAAGAGGTGAACGCTTTGGGCTCTCTGCCAATCAAAGGCAGCGGAGCAGCGGTACTCAGGTCGCTTGGCCATCAGGAGTTAATCGTCTAAATCCCCCCTCCCCTCTCTAATAGCATTGTACCGGGTGATTCAGAGAAGACGCAGGTGCGGGCGGGTTTGCCTACCGAAGGGGCCATGGCGCCTGGACAGAGAGTGAGTAGGCAAACCCGCTCGCACCTGCGTCTTCCCCGAATCACCCCGGTACATTATTCATGAATGCGATTACGGGATGTGGCTTTCCCCGATCATTCATCTGCGTGGGAACACCCACATGTGTTATATTTTTCAGTTTCTTGTCAAATTTTACTTTCTTCAATGATCTTTCCCACCATAACTCTGGTCTTTATTCCCCTCCATGGTAAAGGTGAGGGTCCTTTGTGCTCGGAGTTGCCTGACTAATGCTACGTTTTGTTCCGCAGAGGCTCGCTCGCACGGCGTGGGGTTCTTCGCGTTCGCGCGCGACGAGGCGGTGCGCCGGACGCAGCAGGAGGACATGCGGAAGCTGCGCAAGGAGACGGAGTCCAAGCAGAAGGCGGCGCTGACCCAGCGGGACCGGCGCGCGCAGCTCATGAGGGCCCGGCTGCGGGCCGCCCACAACAGGAAGCGCGCCCGCGAGGGGCTGCCGCCGCTGGCCGAGGGTGAGTCAATTACCAATACTACAGTAATTTTTTCCCCCATTTTGGCTTATTTTCTACTGAAAACGGAAAAACACCCTTTTTTTTGGGGGGGGGGGGGGCTTCGTAGAGACAGCCACAATCTTTTTAAAAAATCAGTAAAAGCGAGTAAAAGTAACTGTATTTCTGAGGCGTGCGGGATTCTTCAAACTTTCGGGCACAAAAGTGCTTCCGCCGGAACCGGAACAAACTTCCGTTTTTGTAAGAATCTCACTTTTCCCACGCGCAAGTGTAACGTTGGTGAATGTTTTTCTGTCGTAGACGAGGACCTGCCCGGCGAGAAGGTGGAGGAGCCTGCTGAGCCCGAGGAGCCCGCGCCGGCGCCCTCCATCCAGCGCGCCTCGGGCCCCAGGCCGCGGCCGTCGCCCTCCGTCAGGCCGTGGGACGTCGGCAAGGAGGGGGTCCCCGGTAAGCCTCAGTGTGGTCATCACGGGGACAGGCGCCCCCTGGCTTTGCGCGTCTTCCATAACGGGTTTGTCGGTGTGCTCTTTTCGCAGTTTTGTCGCAGAGCGAGTGGAACGACCAGCAGCGCTCGCAGCGCAAGCAGGAGTTTGCGCCGCCGTCGTTCTACGAGGACCGCCGGGGCGAGCGGTCGACGGGGCCCTCGGAGCGGCGGTCCGAGCAGCGGCGGCCGGCTCCCGCGAAGCACCACGGCAGCAAGCGAGCGGCGCAGGCGGGCGACGAGGAGGACGACGACGACGACCTGGTCGGGCCGCGACCCCCGCGCGAGTCTCCGCCCCCGGGGCCGGCCCCTCCAGCGCCGCAGGACATGTCCGCGTGGCTGCGCGTGCCGCCGCCGCCCTTCATGCCCCCCGTGCACCTGCCGCCGCCGTCCATGCTGTGGCCGCCCGCCGCCGCCGCGCCGCCCCCGCAGCACGCGCAGCCCCCCGTGCCCGGCGAGGAGGACGGGGCCGCGACCCCCGCGCGAGTCTCCGCCCCCGGGGCCGGCCCCTCCAGCGCCGCAGGACATGTCCGCGTGGATGCGCGTGCCGCCGCCGCCCTTCATGCCCCCCGTGCACCTGCCGCCGCCGTCCATGCTGTGGCCGCCCGCCGCCGCCGCGCCGCCCCCGCAGCACGCGCAGCCCCCCGTGCCCGGCGAGGAGGACGAGGCCTCGGACGCGGCCCGCGGCGGCCTGTTCTTCACGAGCAAGCGGCCTCGGCGGGACTGGCGGGCCCAGCAGCAGGAGGTGCGCCTGCCCATGGAGGAGGAGGAGGACTTCACCGCGACCGAGCCGCCGCCGCCGGGGGTCTCGGATTCGCCGCCGCGGCCGCCGCCGCCACCCCCCCAGGCCCGGGACAAGAAGCGCGGGGGCAGCGACGCCGTCGGCCGCGGGGTGGGCGCTGAGATCGCCCCGCCGCCCACCCTGGAGTACTTCGGCCCCACCGAGGGCGCCGCCGACCGCAGCCGGCGGGCAGCGCAGCGGCTGGGCCAGGGCCAAGGCCAGGACGACCTGAGCGCCTCCATCACGGCCGGCCTCCGCTACCTGCGGAACCAGGCCGAGGACAGGGAGAGGAAGAGGACGGACAAGGGCTGGGCTGACTTTGTCGGCTGAGAGCCACGTTCAGTTTTATTTCATTTAAACATCGTTTTTGAAGACTGTCCTGTAAGTGTGGGGTGGGGTGCTTTTCTTACAGCCTTAAAAAAATAAAAAATAAAGAAAAAAAAAACACTGTAATAAACGCAGCCTACTTAACATTCAACCCATCTTTTCTTTTGATCAAAAGCGTCATGTGATATATGTAATAGATTTAATACCATGAATCTTTCCAGGTATACAGGGTGGGTGATGCTCTCCCAATATGTACTGTATTTGCCAATAAAATTCGTAAAATAAATTTTTGGCATGAACCATGATTTTGACTAGTGGGGTGAAGTCCATGTTTACAGTTCCCGTCAAAAGTCATGTGGTTATCGTAGGCCGTAAGGCAATATTGACGGTAGGGAAACCACAGGCTTACCAGACCGCTCGCTTTTTCCAGTCAATATTTGACTGCTACAGTCGCAATAAGTGGTTAGTTATTCCAGAAACTTATTAGATTACCTGAAATATCAGGGAATATATCATCCGGCAGAGCGGATCTCTGTTTTTCTTCGTGCGATATGTTTGTGTATCCTCAGGCTAATATCCGTCACATGAAGCCACGTTAATCTCTTTATTTGTTGAGTATACTCCGCGGCTAGAAACGACTAGAAAAGAGGAGCTGACTCGTTGATGCTCATTCTCATATCTCTAGGACTCTCTAGATGTGTGGGAGCCTCGCCATGGCGCTGGTCGAGGCCCCGTGTCGCTAGGGTGCCTCTGACGCACCCAAGCCCTGCTGTCTGCCTGCTCGCCGGGCGGAGTATCGCGGCCGCGAGGAGTAGCGCCGCGGCTCTCCCTATGGGCTTCCGCACAGCAGACCGAGCTACCTAAATACATTTTATTAGATGTCGCTGCAAAGTGCTTACAGGGTGGAAAGATGAACACTTGGTTCAAAACCTTTATCCGCGCCGAAAACGATACTTTGTGGACATGTCGTCACTTGATTTGTGAGCGACTGAGAGCTTTTTTCTCTTTCTGTTGATCATGTCTTCGGGATTCAGCGAGAGCTGAGAT